TGTGTTGTACTATTTCCTTCTCAAGGTGATGCTGAAAATGAATGTGCTTTTGCATCAGAATCTGTGCGTAACCTTGTGTGTGTAAATGTGTGTAACATTTACAATACATCGTGACCAAATAGAGGAATAGGAACAGCTTTGGGGTTTTATGTGGATGGATTGAAAGCTGTCAACTAAAGGAAAAAAGACATGTCTATTCAAAAAGTCTGTGGGTGCCATGGCATTTTGAGTGTTTCAGGTTTAATCCCACCCCACTTAACAAGGGGTTACTGTAGAGACACCCTACATGCACAAGGTAGCATGAAATGTGGGACAATTGTCCTTTTTGTCTCCTGATATTAAATTTACCATTTAAAAAAGGATTAGATATGAGCAATTCAGTAATGCAGTAAAGTGCTAATTAATTTGTACAATTATCATAGTGTAGAGTGAGAGACTCTTTACTTGTATTGCTGAAGGTATAATATATCTGAAAGATATACTACCAAGAAAATTAAAACACACAATAATGTAACTCCTTGTACAGGCAACGCTTATTATCACCCTAAACAACTATGTCATCCCTGTGTGTTTCAGAATGTTTTGGAGGAAATATTATGAGTCATGTCAAAACAGTTTATTTCACAGTCATAGTTCATGTTTAAATATAGCATTTGATTCATATTTTGCTCCAAGGTAATTGAATAAAGACTTTGATAATCAGTGAAATCCACTTAAATGAACACACAAGTTTGCATGAACCAAAACATATTAATTTTCTATTTGCATTTTTGTTTATGTTACTATCCTCTTTGTCTTCTTTCTAGAAAATAATTAGTCGTACAGGCAGTTGTAGTCAAGAGAAAGCCCTTTTGCATTAGCCTGCTCTGGAGGCTTGACCTATGTCAGAGTTACATTTCTGGTACTACCACTTCAGACATCAGCTGTCGGCTGTTTGTCAATGTGTCAGAGAGCTCATTCTCATACAGAGCACACGCAGTGCATGTTAGCTTGTGTTTTGACAGAAGTGTTGCTGGATCTTTTTTACCTTACCTGAAGTACAAAGGAAAAGCCTCATAAGCTCTTCTTTCCAAAGGTATTATAAATTTGAATGCACTGCAAGGCACGGTTCTAAATATTAGTCACATTTAAATTGTATCAAGCAGCTTCGAAGGTTCTTCTGCAGGCAAAAGAGCTTCAATCATGTAGTACAGGAAGGCCAGAGTAGTGGTCATCAGGCACAGTTATGGGGAAAGCTGCTTGGCTCTGCTCAGATCACCCTGACAATGCAGTGTGTTCTAGGTTTGCCGGAAAGTTATGCATCAAGCCTGAAAATAAAACTGAACTTGATCGGCCTCATAAACATGTCTTTTTTTTAAATACTAGTTATCATTATTGCATTTTCATAAATGGAACCCATAGAATTTGGCAATTATGTATCAAGCTGATATTTCAACTGATCAAAAATGCAAAGCACAGTACAGCATTTGTGGATTTATTTATCTAAAAAACTTCTCAGCGGATACCTGTTTTGCTGAATATTATTAGTTTTTTAAGAACATGCTGAAACAAAGCGCCACAGTTTTCAAAATTAATTGCAGCCAAATACGCTGCTTTCTTTCATGATTCTCATTGTTTATATAAGCACACAGCGCCACGTGAGGACAGTTCATGCCTGTCTGATAATGAAGGCAGTTATGAGAGGAAGCAGAGGAGAGTGCGAGACAGCTGCTCTTTTCTGAGTCACTGCCAGGCTCCGTGGTGCTTCATAATCTGATTGTGTGATCTTTACAGGAAGCAGAATGAGGGAGCTACTGTACTGTATCTGTTTGCCTCCGCCCAGCAGTACTGGTGCTAACTTGAAGGCCTCCAGCCTCCCCCGAAGCCACCACAAATATTCAGAAACTGAAAAAAGAATATTTTCATTCTGTTTGGTGAAAGCTGTTAAAAGCAGGTGGTTCACTTGTGTTCTGGCAACTCCTGACCTATATGGATGTGGATGAAGCAGTGCTGTGTTTCAATATTGTCAGTAGTATTCTATGCTAATTGTACTGGAGCAGGAATATTGCATTGTCTTGTACTACTTGTAATCATTGTTGCCACACAATTGCTATATATCATTTAATTTATTATTTTATTAGGGGCAGTTTAAATGGATTAAAAGAGTAATGTAATCACCCTGTGATGAGCTGGTGGTTTGCCATTTCAGGAGAATATTACTCTTGACTGCTGTATTAAAATACATTTTATTAAATATTATTTGAATGGTATTACACGTGTTTCAAGTGCAGCTTAATGTTCGGAAGAATATTTTTACATTCATAATGCACCTAATGCTATCTGCCCCATTTATGCTTTTTCATAAAAATAGCATAAAAGAGAGGCTGAAGTAGTTCAAGCAGGGAGCTGCGTCAGGAACAAGCGAAGGTTTATTCCATGCTGAAAAGAAAAGAAACACAACGTTTAGGCTGTGGAGCCTTCTTCGGGTGTGAACAGCCGAAACGTTGTGTTTCTACGTCTTCTCTTTTCAGCATGGGAATAGACTTCGACTTGTTTCAGAAAGGAGAGGTGCTAAAATTTGCCCCACGCAAGGCACGCCGTCGACTTAATATGACGATCGCATGTATCCATATTTGGCACGCCAGCGTGGTTCAGTGTCGTTGCCCCTGCTCGTCCTCCCTGAGCTAAGAAAACCAGATTTCATGGTCACACTTCGCAGGTTTCATGACAGCCGTGCGAGTCCGCCAGCTGAGCCGACGCTCACTTCGGCAACGTCGGCCTCGCCGGACCACGCAGCCAGCCCACTGCACCTTTAAGCGAGGTTTTTTTTTTAAAAATTGATTTATTTTTCGTCATCAGCCAGTTCGGGCGGCCGTTGGCTGTGCCGAAGAGCTCCGCCTCGTCATTGAGGGCAAAAGCAAGCGAAGTGACTTTTACACACCGTGCGGGGAGCCGAGGTGGTGGACAGAGGGTGGGAGGAGAAGGGGCCGTTTTTTTTTTATTTCGCAGCCAGCGGTTCGCTTTCCCTTTGCTCCCCCTGGAATGCAATAGTTGATTGAATTTCAGATTTTACTTTTTATTTGTTTGCACGCCAGTTAAATCAACATTTTGTTTGCAATTTCAAAACGAAAACAAGATTCGTATCGCAAACAAATAGGAAGCATGTGGCAGTAAGGCTAAGGTGTGCTTTTACAGGGCTCCAGTTGAAATTGAGGGCTGGGGAAAAAAATATTTTGTGCTGTAAGAACGATTCTATTTATTCGCATTTCGTGAAGCGTGCATGGTGCAAAAGGCACAGGATCGGTGTAAGCTCCGTTTCTGAGCTCGAACAAGGAAGTGTTGTTGTTGCTGCAGCTGGGAGCGTTTGTTTAGTGTGCGAGGAGTTGAGGACAGCGCGCAAAACCAAGGCTTTGCGAATTCGCCTCCCGCTGCCCTTTCCAGATCTAGGCAAGCTACATATACTTTAGATACCTAGAAATATAAAAAAAAGGTAAGCCAACAATGATCCCCGATCGAGCCCCGCAAGGAGATGTATATCTTGCTCCGAATGATTTGATAAAAAAAGCTCACGTACCAAATTTTGAAAAATACAAAGAGCTCTACATGAAGTCGATGGAAAGCCCGGAAGGTAAGTCTTTACTTTCTGTGTATTTTTTTTTATGCAGCTGAGTGCACTGTCAAGTAGCTGGTAGTTCTTGACCGCCGCTTACTCTTGACTATCAGATGGATCTGCATGTTGCTAGTTTTGGACAACTGGTAACTGTAACTGTTAACGTCAGTGTCATATAGATTGTAAACTGTCGCCGCCGCTCCGGGGTGAGGTGTATGAAGACCGTCTTGTTAAAACGCCATTGCAAAGGGGGCGGATTTTTAGCTCGTAACGTGTGTGCGCACACCCACTTGAAAAAATGAAAATATGACTAATATGACACATGTTTTGAAAATTTTGGAGAAGAGGGCCTGTACGACTTTCGCACTGGGTCCGCACCAGGTAACCCGTGTGTTAAGATAGTGGAGGGGGCGTTACCTCGTTTACCTGAGCAAACTCGTCGGCCAGGCTTGCTTTCATAGCCCTGGTCTTGTCAGGTTGGAAATTTACGGTATAGGGGTCAGCTTCTGAACGGTGCATATAAGTGCATTGCAACTTTTTTTTCCCCCTCATTTGACCTCATCGCTCCTGGTTATTCAGTGCCAGTGTAGGTTCTTCTGGACATTAATCCATTTTAATAGTCAAACCAACGCGCATAGCTTGCTGCTGTTTCTGAGAGCCGGGAATAATAAAAGCTGTGGTTGGGTGGAGGTGTATGATCCAGGTTACAAATTGGTGAAATCTGAATATCCCTATTTACTGAGGGATCGTGTATTATCAGTAAGTCTCTCTCTCTCAAATCTTTTTCCTCTCCCCCAAGTGACAGCCTGTGATATACCGTGTGTTTGGCTGTTATTCTTAAAATAAAGACGGTTCATACCATTACTCATCGGCTTCTTGGCGTGGGACCCAGTTAATTCATAAACCGCAGGATCTGTAGGACAAAATGAGCTTGGTATAATTTGTTGGTGGAGGATGGGCTAACCATGTAAGTTAAGAACATAAGAAAGGTTACAAATCAGAGGAGGGCATTAGCACATCTGGTTCATTTAGTAGTTAATAGCTGTTAACCAGTTAAGCGGTGATGATGTCTGTTTTTCATATAATACACCTAATTTATTGCAGCAGTGCATAGCGTTTTTTATTTACACAAAGAGGCATTCAGCTCCATATTATATGTATTGTTTAATTATACTGTGTGGGAGCCATAGAGGGAAATGTCATGTCACTATAGACAGCCCGTGGCCAGCAGCATGTCGGATATTTCAGAGGGTTGGAAGATCTTGCATAGTCTTCTCCGAACGGTTGTACACTGTTATCCTCGCAGGGCATTTAATTGCCAAGCTGATCCTGAGTTTAACTTCATAGGCTGCCAAAAGCCTTCCACTTTCTTTGCTCTGTGTAACAGCAGCAATAGTGGGGACCTGTGGTTAGGGCTCAGGGTCCCTGACTGAGAGGAATCTCAACCTTGGACAAGATACTTCACTCAGACTGCCCAGCTGTGCACAAATGGGTACCCTCCAGGTCGTCATGATAACTGGATTTATAGGTTGACTCATCTGGTTGAATAAAGGATTAAGTAGATCTTGGCACACAAAACAGTTCCTTGAACTCATGAGCTCTGCCCTTTCCCTGTGTTTCCACGTTTGTTTTTATTTCTTTCAGAGTTTTGGGGGAGCATCGCTGATGAATTTTTCTGGAAGACCAAGCATTCGGGCCGGTTTCTGGATTATAACTTCGATGTAACGAAAGGCAGCATCTACATCAAGTGCATGGAAGGAGCTACAACCAACATTTGCTACAACCTCCTGGATAGGAATGTGAATGAGAAGAAACTGGGCGATAAAATTGCATTCTTTTGGTGAGTGTCGGAGTTTAGCCAGTGGTAGCTGCCTCATTTTAAAGTACTAGCCTGTTCTTATATTCAAGACTGGTGTATCTGTGAGTTATGAAGAAAAAATGGGTCAGTAATTAGATGGCAGAAGATCAAGTTTGAGGAGAGGTGCATCTTCAGTCAGAGATTGACCGAGAAACATTTATTTTCCAAGGCAAGAATAACAAAAAATCCATCTCTTTCTCATAATTGCAAAGAATAGCGATTTAGTGATTTAGACCGTAAAGCCAGGTCTCAGCCCCAGTGCAGGCTGAAATCTGTGATCGCAGGTCCAGGTCTGGATCATGTCACTAGCTGATTGTGACTGGGATTGCCCACCCGATGGCTCACAGTTGGCTAAGCACTGCAGAGAGTAGGGTAGGATTAAGGGGAGAAGGTCTCTCAGCTCTCTGCCTTCTGGGCTCTTGCAGGCTTCCATAGTGTTGGTGAGGGGCTTCTCTTCTAGTCAGTGGTGCACAGGATTGGCTTGGGACTCTGTCTGCGACATGATGTGTCGCAAAAATGAATGTGGAGAATAAATAGGACTGAAAGCACACCTTTCTTATTTTCAATTACTAGTCACAAATCCTGCATGTTATTGAGTTAGTTTGCTAGCCAGCTTCATGTAGGGCATAGTGCCTGCCTGTTTCTGTGATTTAATTAAAGTTTCAGTATTCTTAGCAGATCTGTCCGCGTCAAGTTTTACATTATCCATTCGAAGTATGCTGTTGCCTGATTAAGAAAGTCAAGGTAAAAAAAGTTAGAATAGAATGCATAATATTCTCTCATAACTGCACAAACCATATTGTGCAAAAGATGGATTTCTTTTCAATATACAATGACCTGACCCTTAGAGACTGCTAATTCAATGTCATGATTAACTCTTTAGGATGTTGAGTATTTAACACTGAGAATTTTTAATGTTTTATCCCTGCTCAGTAAAGAATTATGATGCTAGTGGACCTCTAAACAAACGTTTTTTTTTGCTGTACACGCACAAGACTGGCTTTCTATAGAAATAGGATTGGCTGACAAACTGTTGAATACACTGTATACCTTCAATGTTACAGAAGTGTGCAGAATGTCATGAAGTAACAGACGTTTTCTTGAATGAGCATGGATGAAAAAGGCAATCTTCGTATTGCTTTCTTTTATTTTATTGACAGATTAATTCTTATATCTTACATGTATTTGGAGATCCATGTCACATTAATTTCATTAAGAGTTAGAACAGCACTAGGACTGGAATCGAGTATTGTCCTTTTAGGGTCAAGTGATCATTATGGATTCCTCTGCAGACATAGGCTTTAATTATTGTAAGTGTTCCAAACTATCCATTTATCTTGGCTCAAAGTACTCGGGGGACATACTCTGTTAGATGCATGCCCTTTTTAATCAATTTAGAGCGAAGCATCTTTTTAGCATTTGATTTTAGAGGGCATAATTGATGGCTTGTAGGCACTACAGCATTTCCAAGTCTCTGCTTCTGAAGAGCTACAGTAGCAGTGCAATGTTTCAAGCCACCTTCTGTATTCAGCCTAATGTGCTGCCAGAAGATGTGGTGTCACTGTCTGCCCCTTCTACATGATGGATCACATTGTTCCTTTAACTCTTTACAGCAAACGTTAAAAAAGGTGTTCTGTGTACTGTGTGGCACTTCAAGCTTTGAGTCTTAACTAATCTTCGGTGAAACCTTTTTTGGCATGTTCAGATGTTCAAATAAGTATTTGATTAATCTATGCAATGGCATACTCAGCAGAAGCATATGATTCCTGACGGTGGTAGAAATGCTGTATCACCTTCAATCTTCCATCTCGGACTCTCAGACTTGTGCATCACTGCTCGGAGGAATCCTGGAATCCTGCTGGCATTTGAGTAGCGACATGAGACAGGCTCGAACCCGTGCTCCTGGGAAGATACTTTTATTGTGTGGGGAGAGCTTCTTGACCTGTTTGTGGCTACGGCACCTGCTTTTCAAAAACTCACTCTTGGGTGGGGGAAGAGCCGCAGGCTTAAAAAATAATTAATTTACAGCTTTGTGAATGCTTTGTAAAATGAAAAGGGGGTCCCTTGTTGACACCCACTCAGCAGAGTCAGTCAGTGTTCCCCCCTTTTTATCTGGATCGCCAGACCCCTTGTTGGGAACGACTGCTTTAAACCGAAACCACAGGAGTCAAGGAGTAAGACAGTCAGTGACCACTCCAGCAGATCCAGCAGATGGAATCGGTGTTTGTGACTATTGTTTATTGGGTCTCTGATTTGTTGACACATTTAGTACCATGTCCTTGAGGATACACGTGCTGGGAATACTTCTGCGGCCGAATGTGACAAGTGGCATGACTGTACCTACGAAAATGATGAATGTATTTTGTCCCCAATCACCTCAGGCAGAAGGCAGTCCCCTCCTGTCATTTGTACACGCATGGAGGTGGGGGAATATTAGCAGAGATTGATTTGTGAGGTTTTGGGCTACTATTCCTACTTCTGTCCTATTCCAGACTTCTGTGATCGTTCCCTCCTTCTGTTCTCTACAACATCTGCTTCAGCAGACCAGTGTAACTTCGGACGTTTCGGTATTATTTTGAGAAAAGGTCTGACATTGTTTCTGCCATATATAAGTCATGACATTTTGTTATACAGTCAGATGGTGTCCTTGCTGCTGATTAAATTGAGATGAGATCATATGTTTAATTGAATCCTCTTTATGGGAGGTGGGAAAAGAGAAAGCTGAATCTGAACAAGTTGCCACTGTCCCACTAGAGGTAATGAATCTGTAGTTTTGGTAACTGTCAGTTGTTTTTTTGCAAATTTATATTTAGTTGTCTTTCAAGTCATTTGCTATGAAGGAGCTAAAGTACCTTTAGAGTGAATAAACTTTGCACTTCCTTCTTGGGGCATTTCATATAATTTCTTTGTAATGTTCTTTCCTGGATTTTATGATATTTTGCAATATTCTCTGTGGTCCTGTCCTGGGCAGTAAACCCTGTGAAGAAAGCTTTATCATTTGCTTTATTACAAGTACTGTACAGTTAAGTCACGTATCAAGTGCAGGGAATAAATAACTGATAAAATAAGTAGTTCTTTCAATGGACAGATAACCATGACCTGAGCTTTAACATTTAAGATACACATAGAAATGCATTTAAAATTAAGAAAATTAGGCATGTTTTTCACAAAGTTGTAAGAAACTCGAAGTTGTTTGAAGCCGATACCCTGGCTTCTGTAAAGAAATGGATGGGTGACATCCTTGAAAAAGTTAGTTTTTAGCAGCCTAACAAGTTTGTTGGGCTAAAAAAACTCCTCTTGTCTGTAACCTTTGTGAATCTTTTAACCTGGTATTAAAAAGTGAAATTCTGTTTATTTTTATGTCTTTACCTAATGCTTTTGAAATAGATTTCCTTTTGCGATAACAGATTTTCTGTCCCTGGGCTGTGGTCTTTTAGAGGGTACTGTACTGAGCTGACCGACAGCATGGGAAATTTGCAAGGTGACCTTGACCTTCCTGTTGTGTTTTGCTGCCATGGGCTAAGGAATATTACAGCTGGGCAACATCTGGAAAAGCTTTGTCACAAAGACCACTAAAAAGGGGGACAATTACGTTTTTATTTTGTGTTGATTTGGGTTTGATAGGTGTCATATGAAGTAGGCCACTAATCATAGCAGTTATATTGACCAGTGTATTTATTGTTGATTTTCAGTATGAAGAATTAGACACGATCCTTTACAGCAGAATGCCGGCTCTCATCAATAGCTGCTTTGAACAGTACAGCTGTTCAAAGCTGGACCATATCAGTGTGTAGATTTTTGGTTCTGTAAGGCACATTGCTAATTCTAGACAGAATCAGTTTCTAGTTTGTTTGGAAGTCTGGTTACAATTTAAAAATAGACCCTATCTCTTGTGCTGTGAGGGACCTGTGCAGCTGTGGTGTTTCGCTGGGCCTGCCTCCTCAGTCTCATTTCATGGTACAGGAACCCATTCCACAGGCGGGCTGGGCTGTGTATTTACAAAAGTCTCTTTGATCTCTGACAAAAACATGTTCTCTGCTTTTCGGCCTAATGCAGGGGACTGTAGAATTAATAATTGCTGAAGCAGTATGCCAGCAGTTCCTTAACCTATTGCAAAAAGCTATAGGAGAGAGACCATGCACACATTTCTAAAACAAGAACGCCTTTGTTAACTATAAAGGAGATTATGTGTGCATTATGTGGCAGTAATTTCCCTTGTAAGCCTCTCTTTTTTTCATATGGGACTTTTTCTTTGTGGGTGCTATTAGGGTTTCCTGCATTGCACTTAGCTGAACTTGGGAAGAAGATAGATACAGTAAGCATGCATTGCCTTTTAAATAAGTAAATTAAGAGATAGCAAACTGATGGACAGGAATAACCTCATTTTTTTGCTCTAGGAAAGGAAACTGTTTTGTGTACTTTTTTTTGTAGTTCATTCAAGGGTATACTGGTCAGGCCACAAAATTACAATGTTTAATGGAGGTACATAAAAGCAATGCCAATTTTCAGACTCGGGGTGTTTACTGTACTACTGTCCTTGCTGAAGCACTGATTGTTAATCAGTATAGGTAGAAAATAATGGGCGTAAAATGATGTGGGGTTTTGCAATTTGGCCTTCTACTTACTGACCCTGTATTGGTGGTTAGAAGTGTAACTTTTGCCCAATCCGTGTGGTCTTTACTGCAAAATCGGAGGCCCACAGACACTTCTCCAGCCAGTATGAGACACGGGGGGGTAAGTGCAGCACTTTAGTGTAGGAAGCCCTGTGACCTCCCCAGGGGATTGTTTTACTCTAAAATACACTGACACATGCTACTGTGCCGCATCTGAGGGAGGCTTTGGTTTTCTGCAATGCTTGCTGCTATAACTTCAGTTAACCTTGAGATTTACAATAGCTTGTAAACCATGAACCTGGAGCAGCTTTCCCAGAGCTTGTGTGAAGTGGGGCAGGCAGGCAGGCCTCGGTTAGTGCCAAGGCATTGGGGAGCAGGATGAACCAACCTTTACCTTTAAAACACTTCAGGCTCAGAAGTTGTGCCTGGTGGCTATAGCACCTGCTGTGTGAGTGCTCTGCTATTGCTCAATAACCCACATTTTCACTGCCAAGAGTGTTGCAACTGGCTCTGATACTGACGGCTGAGGCCGAGGCTGAGGCCAAGGCCAAGATGAAGACTTCGGGAGCCCACAGTTGTGTGAACATCAAAGTAATCCTGACCTTTTTTCAGTCGAGCATGTTTAGTGGCTCTGTGGCTCAGGATCTGTGCCTGTGGCTGGAAGGTTGCCGGTTCGTATCCTGCGGCGGGCAAGAGGAATCCTACTCCGTTGGGCCACTGAGCAAGGCCCTTAACCCCAGCTGCTCCTGGGGCACCACATAAATGGCTGACCCTGCGCTCTGACCCCCAGCTTCTCTCCCTGTCTGTGTGTCTTATGGAGAGCAGGTTGGGGTATGTGAAAAGACAAATCTCTAATACAAGGAATTGTATATGGCCAATAAAGTGATCTGGTCATGCTTTTTAAAAAAAAAAAGCTGACAAAGCTGCCGAGTAGTAATTTAAACACCCTCTTGGAATACACTGTCTACAGTGAATTAATTCAATTACCAATTAAAGGACTTTTAAGAATAAAAAAAAAACGTTAGCTCATTACAGTCTAGGAAGTGAAGGATGGTGATTAATGCCAGTGTCTAAATTTACTACTGGAAATATTCTTTAGCTTTGGAGCTTTTTCAGAAGTCGGTAAGCAGGAAACTGGTAATAGGATTTGTGATTGTTAACATGATAGAAAAAGAAAAAGTCAAATTGACTTTGATTCCAATGATCTGTCCGTTTTTTCAAGAGAAATATGTTCTGTCTTCCATTACAGTTACTGCGTAGCTTAGCTCTTGTCATTTCCGGTTCCATTTTAAATGGCAGAGCTTATCTTAGTGAAATGAATAGAACTTCAGAACAGTTTTTTCTGAATACGGCCACAGTGTGGTGCAGTTGTAAGGTACTGGACTCTTACCAGCAAGGTTGTGCGTCCAAATCCCAGGTGAGACACTGCTCACATTTATACACCTGGGTGAAATGTACATTTCTTCAGGTATAAGAGCTTTGGCCATATTAGTAAATTATACTGTACATCTTGAATTAAAGCAGCCAAATGAAGATTAAAGGACAAATGAATATTGATCACGGTCATATCCTGTCTTGTCTCCTTACTGCAGCAACATTAATTTACTGTTTGTATCTGCTTTCCACACAGTAAGAAGAGTCCCAGCAATTCACTTAGTCTGTAGTCATTACAGATTACTGTCAGAATGCCCCTGTAGATCCAGCACAATGTCTGCTGGAAGGTCACCTTGCAAGTTCCTGGTTCAAGTTTTGTGACGGTGTGTGCGAAACTGTAAAATCCAGTCATGGAGTCAAGAACCTTTCTGTTTCAAGTAGCTGTTACTTGTAGGTTTTAATCAGTGGAAACTAAATCATACTTGCTTTTATACCCCGTTATTTAGGGAAGGGAACGAGCCTGGAGATGATCTTAAAGTGACGTACCGTGAATTACTGCAACAGGTCTGCAAATTCGCCAATGTGCTGAGATCGCAAGGTATGGGAGTTTCTGTTAATTCCTATGGGATTGGAGCAGGTGTTGGTCACAGGTGTTGACATAACCTGGCTGTATTGATTATTGATTGGCTATTGCTTTAAAGAACTTTTGTTTTTCTGTTTTTAATTTAGGAATTTGTTTTTCATTGTTCCAATACATCTGCTCTTTCTGTGGTTTTTATAGGGTTTTAAAAAATACTTTGATTTTTTATAATTTGTTTGGTTCACATTTTTCAAAAACGACAAAATGTTAAAAGCAAAATGTCCTTTCCTGAAAGCTGCACAGCAGTAATATCTTCTGTGTTTGCTGTCATGTAAATGCCAGGTCCAATTTCTCCACCTTTGCTCTGCAGTAGCATGAACAGTAAAAGCCACATTCCTCCATGAACTTTCCAGCTAATTTAGACCTCTGCAAGTACAGTACAAGTACAGCTACAAACTAATCCCATAACATCTTTTTAAAAGAGAAACATTGTAAAGAATATACTATAGTGCATAATTCTTAAATGTGAGATTTATGTAATGATACTAGTTTCAAAGGTAAAACTATGACTGTAAACTATTATATTTTAAGATTTGAGGTAATGGCTAGATTTTGTATAATCAGTTTCAATATCATAGTCCGCAAAAATGGTCATTTAATTTCTTTGGATATTTTAACAGTTTTCTTTAAATTAAAGCATATTACACAGGAATGCAGTTTATTATGAATGGATTATTCTTAATTCATAATGGATTACTTTAACAGCAGTAGTCTCCTGTATTTCCCATGTTGGTTTTTGGTCTGTACAGAAAAAACTTAATTGTACAGTGCAATATCTCCCACATTTCTGATTTTAAAATTGACGGCAGAGGTCCAGTACCTAATTCCAGGCCTGGATTAATCCAGAATGTCAACTCACCTGTCAGTCACAAGTTCCAGGACCAGGAGAGGGTGGTGAGAGTCCATTGGGTTGAAAGTCTCCTGGATAAATGCGCAGTTGGAAGTGTAGGTTGACTGTTTGAACACATTCGGGGCATCCTGTCGGCGAGGGCTGTGTTTTTTAAGTTCCGCCTGCCAGGTGACTGAAGCTTGTTGGTGTGTGCTGCGCTCTCAGGTGTGAAGAAGGGGGATCGGGTGTCCATTTACATGCCCATGATCGTGGAGCTGGTGGTGGCTATGCTGGCCTGCGCTCGCATTGGGGCCGTGCACTCCATTGTGGTGAGAGACACGCGCCGTTTTATACCAAACCCGCTTGAAAACGGTGTTCTTGAGTTTCTTGCGAATGGAGTCACCTCTTGGTGGTTTTACTTCTTGCTGTGGCTGTTTTTTTTACGTCTCATTCACTGTATCTCAAGCAAGTACTGCTTTTCCAAGCTGCCTACAATTCACTGTTTCTTTTGTAGTTTTACTTTTTAGAATCCATAACTTTCCCGGTGATTTTAAGGTGGGGGAGCGCCGAAAAAGCTTGGTCTCTGTTACAATAAATGATATTTTGAAATAGATTTTCCAATGTGTTCCAGTTTGCAGGATTTTCTGCTGAATCCCTCTGTGAGCGGATCGTGGACTCGCAGTGTTCCCTTCTTATCACGGCCGGTAAAGACGTTTGTTACAGATTTGTTGGATTATCCTGAAGCCTTTTAAATCTGTAGTTAATGAATGGCTGATTTAAGCCTTTTTTACATAAACACAAATGTTTTGACATTGTTTTCAGATCCTTTCAGATTCATTTTGAAAAGATCCTGTATTTTCTGTTGTGCTAATGAGAATGCTATGAGCCAAGTATAAGAAAACATACTTACCTCGTACATCTCTTAGTTGTTAGCATAGTTTCCCTTGTTTTTAAATCTACAAGAGTGAACATTTATCGCTTACTTCTCAAATGAGTATATAATGGGCACCTTCTAGCTAATGAGATACTGCAAGTGCATTATTCAGCTCAGGCAGTATGCCAGTAATTCTGATAAAATGGTTATACAGTACATAGCTGGTGCAGCTGCCACCCTTGTTGTACACAAGATGTATGATTGTAAGACAATGTAAGACTTGATGTTGGCACTGAGGTGAAATAGTATTCAAGCAAGAATGTTACAGGGAGGGGGTAATAGTTTCAGGTTTTCTGGAGTCATTTTATTTCACAGGTCTCTGCTTTTTATCTTGGTGAATTTCCATATTCTGGATTTTAGGTCTAAGTGAATAAAGGTTTTATATTTTTATGTATAAATGTGCTTAGTAAATACTAAGTTGGTAAATACTGCACTCATTGTCTCATTCCGTTGTTTTAAGCAAGTCAGATCCTGCTAACTGTGGCAGCAGACATCCTTAAAAACAGATTATTTTGTTACAGATGGGTTTTACCGGGGAGACAAGCTCATCAACTTGAAGCTGATTGCTGATGAAGCACTCCACAAATGCAGAGAAAAGTAAGGAGTGTCTCAAAGCAGAAGGGAATTTAACTGAACAATAATACACATTTGAAAACCTTTTATCTGCCCAAATGTGTTATAAACCTATAAATTCATCTAGTTTATTCATCACTTACAGGAGTTTTGATAACTGCAAAGTTGCTAGAAGTAATATGATGTAGTTGAAGAAAGGATACAAACTAGAGGAAGCCAGTGGCTTCTTCCTTGTTGGCTTTTGAGTATCTTTACTAAAAGAAGAGGTACCTCTCCTTCTCAGTCTTCAAAACTCTTCACCTTCATTTCCTCTTGGGAGTCCTTAAGCTGTTTCAGGACCTGTGCTGGAGCTGATGGAATCCATTGGGCTGACTTTGTTAGTACTGTATCTCCTCTGCTTGGGATTAAAGCGAACCAGTTCTTTGAACCCCATTGTTCACCTTTGAATGGAATTCATGGTAGAGGCATTGTCGTACCAATGACTTTGTGCATTTCAGGAAATTCCCCGTGAAGCGGTGCATCATGATCAAGCACCTGTCCAAAGATGAGGTCAACTGGGAGCCTGTGGCCAGCTCCCAGTCTCCCCCAGCGAAAAGACCGTGTCCTGACCTGCAGGTGAGACTGGGCTCTTAGGGGAATTGTACATTATAGGCAAGAATATACTCTATTTCAGTGTTGATCAGCTTTGCTTTGTATTTCTTATACTGTAAGATGGCTCAAGTAGCTGGTTTCAGTCTTTGTTATTGTTGATTTAGGAAGAACTTTGTAAAGACCTTCCAAGAGAGTACATCATGTTGCAACTAAGATCGCAGTTTCTGGAGTGGACTAGAATTGAGAATGCAAGCTTTATTAGCCCACCAATTCTGTGACAATAGAAATAGCTTCCAGAAGCATAATAATTAGTCTAGGATTCCTGCTTTTTACAGTATCCTAGAGTAGACAAGACAAGTTATAAGCAGAACTGACTTGACTCTTAAATTTGAAGTTAAGATATGTTAGGTACAGTAGCTGTAAGTAATATTATTTGTAAGCTGGCTGTCAAGCACTGCAAAAGGTAACTTCATTTTGAGTTCCATCTTTGTTGTATTTTCTTTTTTATTTTATCCATATTATATAAGACTCTGCAATCCTGTTTTTCAGTAGTTGTAACAGCTGTACTTAACAAATACCTGTTGTGTAACCACTAATTTTTGTTTGACAATGTTAACTTGTGTGTTACAACTTTAATATTAATTCTAAGAACTGCATTTAACAGTGGCTACATGATTCATCTTTTTTGTGAACAATGTTTCCATTTTCTGAAATCAAAATGGAACAAATCAAGTTTGTTTCTCATTGATTTGTATCCAAAATAGTTTTATTTTCTACAAAATTTTACTTTTGATCGGTGACTTCATTTGGTTTGATCACAACCAGGCACTTAAAATTTCATGGTGAAATTTAATCTCTTTTTTTAAATCATTTTTCAATCAACAATTTAGCAGGAGAGACAGAATGAGAGAGTAAAGAAAATCCGCCCCAAACCCAAGGTACTTTCCTAGCTTTTGCAGACCTTCTTTCATGCACTTTTGCTTTAACCTTAACCTTTGGAAAAATTCCTCATTTCTCAACTTAAAGTTTGCATAATGGCTCTCTAATTGGTGTACAACTTTTTCTGTTGTCCTTCCCTCTAAAGGTTTCTGTGGCATCTTAATCACTAACCTTAATTCTAATCAATGCCTGACCAGTTTTGAATCACTTGACCAATACTAAAGGGTTATGCATAACTTCAATGATACTGAGTGATGTAGTGACAATAGCTGAGAATTGCTATTGTCATTTTCACCCTGGAGGTAAGGAACTGTTGCTTGTCTTGTCAGATTTATAATGCACTTAGTAACCAGCTTGCCCTCAGGAACTGATTACTTCCAGCTGGGGAAGTGATTCAGAGTTGCTGCCCTCTGTAACTCTGCGGGTAGGACTATTGGGTATTTCTGCCAGCCTTGCATGATAATCCATTGCAAGTTTAAAGTTGAGAGTTTTTGATTGAGTGTAATGTGAGGTGTGTTTGTGTTACAGGAAATTGGACATTTATAAATTGTTTTCAATAGGTTATGGAGGAACAGTGTTTCTAACATACAGTTGTTCAATGTGAATTGATCTTAATGCTTTTTACATCAACTACTCACTTTTCCTGTACTTTTCTTTCTGTACGTTTCTTGTGTCCATTATATAGATAGAGATGTAATTAATAATCTCTTCTTTTCCTTGGTGTTAATAACTTTTTAAAAACTGTCCTACTAAGAGGAGAGAAATAAAAGTTTGCATAGATTATTTTACAGAGTGTCACTTTGCAAGCTCATGTGTGTGAAGAAATCTTGCCTCATGTTAAAGTCACTGCCTTACAGACTGAGCGATATAAATTGAGCAGCCTCGGCTGGCTGCTAGTGAAAAGAAATGCTATTATTCTTTGTCATTGTGTCTCATTTGGGCTGCAATGACTATTCTAAGCTGAAGAAGCCATCAAGCCTGTATCGAGTGGGGTATCAGCGGGCAGGGAAGCCTGTGGGTTCAAATCCCAGGTGAGACACTGCTATTGTACCCTTGAACAAGGCACATCACTTGAACTGCTCAATACCTGCCTGTGTAAATCGGTGCAAACGTTGCTTTGTATAAAAGTGTCCGCTGCATAAATTTGTGCAGATGATGGAATTGGCATTGTCTGGTAGCAAACTCTCCATTCACTTCAGTAGTAAACTCTCCTGGAGATTTTCCTGAAAAAAGGCAAAATGCAGGCAGGACGTTTGCAGCCGGAGCTGAAGTTGTGTGTCTCTGGGATCGAAACCTGCTGGTGCTGTGTGGGTCTCATGTCTCGGGATTTCTTCCCCAGGTGCCCTGGAATCCGGATGTGGACCTGTGCTGGCACACGCTGGTGAAGGACGCCGCGGACGACTGCGAGCCGGAGTGGTGCGATGCCGAGGACCCCCTCTTCATCCTCTATACCAGCGGCTCCACTGGCAAACCCAAGGTACCGTGGGAGGTGTGAGGCGTGGAACTCCTGAGCCACCAGCTCTAGCCCGGTGTTTTTCCTTAGGGTATGGTGACGTCAGCCGTAAGCTCCAGCCTTCTCAATCCGCACGACCCATGCGGGTTCAGTCAGTATCTCAAATGGGTTCCGCACCTGTGGTGGGAGGGTTTAGGTGCGCTAGCCCGGGCACGACCGGCTCTCTGCAAGACGGCAGCACTCGTGACATCTTGGAGTTACTCCGGGACTCCTGCAGCCAGCATTGAACCTCTTCCGTGTCTCTGTTGAGGTTGACGAATGCCAACAGATGCGCGTCTCAGTGGATTGCTGGAGCCTTTCTGCACTTCCTTGTTCCCAGTGATTGGGCAGAGGGGGATTATTGTGATCCCTTGAGTCATAAAGACAATTGGCGATTCCAAATTGGGTGGGTATATTGGGTAAGGCCATTAATAATCCACCACCAATCCATGTGAACCTCAGCCGTTGAAGCCTCCTGCAGTTTGTCGACTCCTCCGACTGTCATTTTATGACTATTTTTATGTTACCCTCCCTCTGGCGCTCGCTTTTTGATGGTATCTGAGTTGATCAATCGTTCCCTTTTACTTGTTTCAATGGCAGTGTGCTTGTATTCTCTCAAAGGGTGTGCTGCACACAGTAGGGGGATACCTGATTTACACTGCTGCCACCTTCAAGTATGTGTTTGACTACCAGCCAGAGGATGTGTACTGGTGCACAGCGGATATTGGCTGGATCACGGGACACTCCTACATCACGTATGGGCCTCTGGCCAATGGGGCTTCCAGTGTACTGGTGAGTGCACTTCGTTAGGAGACCACACTAAGAGAGAGTGATGCCAGTGTACTGGAACACTGAAGCCTGGAGGAAAAACTCTCCCTGTGTTGGGAGCTGCTATTTCACTTAGCTTAAGTTCAATTTGCACAAAGGTCTGCACTTCTATTTTCATTGTACACTCACGAGGCAGTTTTTAAATGATTTGATTTCAAGCATTTAAAGTTGTGGGTTTCTATGTATTTGGGTTACCTACCTTAGGCCAATTTAGAACTGACTCGTAAATTCAATTCTAATTCAAGGAAGGAGTACATGTTAGGTCAGATTGGTTGAAAACTACCTGAGCAAGTGTCATAAACTTAACAGGTTGTATATGTCTTATGAGAGCCCATTAGTGTGTAAATGCTCATTTTATTTAGTTTGAAGGCCTTCCAACCTACCCCGATATGAGCCGCCTGTGGGAGATAGTGGACAAATACCAGGTGACCAAGTTCTACACGGCACCCACGGCCATCCGGTTACTGATGAAGTACGGAAGTGAGCCTGTCCAGAAGTAAGCCCCCGAAGTGACCGAGAATCTTTTACGTTTTTCTTTTCCCTTGCGTTTTGTTGCCTTTTTGGTTGATTATCAAGCTCAGTGCATGTTAGTGATGTTAATTTCAGGATTCATTAACTAACGATGGTTGTGTTTGAAGGTCTTGTGTTCCTCCAAACATATGAAATGTATGGTACAAAAATGTAATTTTGAATGCGAATCACATGGCGTCGGATTGGGATTTTGACAAATGCTTTTGCATGGAAGTTGCTTTGTATTGCCAGCTTTAAAGATATTCATGTGTCTACCCTTTTCCCCAGCTAGGAGAAGTCAGGCTGAAGTTGTCCTCTGCCTTTTGATTCAGGTATAAGCGCGATTCTCTGAAAGTCCTAGGCACTGTCGGGGAGCCCATCAACCCCGAGGCGTGGCAGTGGTACTACACTGTGGTGGGAGAACAGAGGTGCCCTGTGGTCGACACTTTCTGGCAGACCGAAACGGTGAGCCGTGTTTGAGTGGAAACTTGCACATGACTTGCACTGGGGGCAGAGCTTTTGTTTTGTGAGGAGTGCCACCATTCATGTTGTCGGAGCTGTTTTTTTTTTTTTTTTTTAGAATCGGGCTTTAGTGTAACTGTCCTAGCTGCAGAATGAAGCAACCCTGTCACCTGGCGTCTGACAAAACCTTATCTGTGTGTTTTCAGGGTGGCCATGTGTTAACGCCACTTCCTGCTGCCACGCCCACCAAACCCGGGTCTGCGGTAAGATCCTCCTCATCGCCGTTTCATTCCTCCTACATCCATTCCATTCCCAAGGGTTGGATGCTCGGATCTTGGTATTAAGCAATATCGGACACGGCCGTTTACTTTTACTGCGCAAAAATCATAGTGAGTGAGACGGACTGCACGATTGTGATGATTTGCTCCTCTACCATGGGCAGTTTAGAAGATGTTAAAAGCAAGCCGTTGGCGTTGATGAATATCCTGTCTTAAATTTAATTTAAAGTTGCTTTAGTTGACCTTGCAAGCATAAAGCTCCTGCATTTTGTACGGGTCTTAAATATCTCTGTGTGTAAACCATGATTGATGGATTTATCCCCAGACATTTCCTTTCTTTGGTGTTGTTCCTGCAATCCTTAACGAGTCTGGGGAGGAGCTGGAGGGACCAAACGAAGGCTATCTGGTAATGCGTTCATCTGGGATCTGGTATAAAGTTCCACGCCTGCAATGACGGTTGGTCACTGTAGGGAATGTGGAGGCTGCTTGCATCTCCCTTCATACCAGTGATTGTTCTTTGTTGCTGTGGGTATAGCCAGAATTGCTTTAATTATAATACTGTGAAGCACAGAGGTAGGTTCTCATTGTGAATGTAACAGCACCACCTATTGGTAAAGCAATATCACACAATCTAACCTTTTTTGGCAAAAATAATTTTGAAAAGCGCATTAGTAACCGTTTATAGATTTGCAGGGCGTTCATTTTTATCCTTATTTAGTCTTGTGGCATTTTATGTCTGAAGTCATGCTGATTTAAAGCAATAAAGTTTTCCCTTTAAATTTGGAAACCCTTAAACTGTTTTAAGACTACTTTGCTGGTACGATTCCTGAGCCTTCTGGGACTGTATTAACCCTCTGCCATGCTTACCCACAGAGACATTTGTAATTTGATGTGTTGTGAGTCGCAGGAGTCTCTCTGCTGGGAAGACAAAGATCCAATGGCAAAATAATCTTGCCATACTCCTGGCAGCTCTTTTCTAATCCCAATCCAGGCACGAACCAGTGACCTCGTTGGTGTAGAGCTCCACCTGCACCCTGAGCTTGTGTCTTTACTCCTTGATCTGCTCAGGTGCTCCTGCCTGAGGAAGACATGGATCCGATGGTGGAGACTCAGTGGATCTGTAGAGTATAATTCACACAACCTAATCAATCATTTTCACCTGCTACAGGTGTTCAAACAGCCTTGGCCAGGAGTGATGAGGACAGTCTATGGTGACCATCAAAGGTTTGAAACAACGTACTTCAAGAAGTTCCCGGGCTACTACGTTACAGGAGATGGTAAACCCACATTTGTCTCTGGATTTTGAAATCCTACCTGGCATTAATTTAAAGTCAATAGTTTTATGTCCATAATGACCAAGGATGCATGGGTTTGTCTACATACCTGCAAGGGTGTTGGTCAGAATTGGGTTTGCTCTGCACTGAAACGGTTTGTGTAAAAGAAATGCATTGCATTCTTGTTCCCAGTAATGAATTACCACTGTTGTCTGATGGATGCGTTTGATATTATCAAGGCAACAGATAGCTTTAAGGTAATCAAAGCTTATGGATGCTTTAAATGTGCCTTTTTACTTTTTTTTAAATCCTAGTTTGTGTTTTTCTTTCAGGCTGTCGGAGAGATAAGGATGGTTATTACTGGATCACGGGCAGGATAGATGACATGCTGAATGTGTCTGGTGAGGGCTACAGAGCATTGGTTTTTCAGTGCTGACATCTCTGTCTCTGTTGCGAAACTGGCCTGTAACAGTTCCCAGCAGGCCTGACTATTATGAGTGATCAGTGTTCAGGAATTCCCCCCTCCACAACTTGTGCATTTCGTCCCTGGATCCAAAACCAGGACCCCAAGGAGAGCACGGCCTCCTGTATTTCCGTGTAGTTCCCAGGGCTTTCCAAACCAAAACAAGGAGGCCCTTTCTATCCCCACAGGGCTGAGAGAGTGTGAAACAAGCTGCCCAGCCGTGTAGCCGGAGCCCTGGTTAATTTCGGGGGGGTGGCTGGAGGAGATCCTTGCTCGATGGCCTCCTCTCGTCTGTGACCGATCTCCCGCCGGTGTCGCGCTAACCGGCTGTGTGCTGTCCAGGTCACCTGCTCAGCACGGCGGAGGTGGAGTCGGCCCTGGTGGAGCACGCGGCCGTGGCCGAGGCGGCGGTGGTCAGCCACCCACACCCGGTGAAGGGGGAGTGTCTGTACTGCTTCGTCACTCTCAAGGAGGGCTTCGAGTACAGCAAGGCGATGGAGACGGAGCTCAAACAGCTGGGTGCGTTGGCTTATCTCCCGTTCGAGCGGCCGGAACACGGTCGTGAACAAATTCGGGTCGCTTGTCATCTGTACAACCTGTTCACGGATGGGCCGTTTTTAATTTGTAAACAGTACAAAAATTTACTGATTAGGAATAGGCTAACGTTTGAGTTGTGAAATGCTAAGCTGCCGCCTCAGATTTGTTTTGTTTTCTCTGCGTCTTGGGTGCGGTTTCCCTCAAAACGGACTTCCAGCGAAACCGAGTCCGTCAATGCGTTGGGAGTTTTTTTCTTTCTTGACAGAGGTTGAAATCATAATGGCACAAATATTTTGCTGCTTCACAGTGCGGGAAAAGATTGGAGCTATTGCGACGCCCGACTATATGCAGAGCGCTCCTGGATTGCCCAAAACAAGATCAGGTGAGAGTTTTATATAGGAACCAGGAGAACATTTACCAATGAGGAGGCGGCTCAGCCCATCCAGCGGGTTTAGTAGTTGGCATTTAACTGTTCTGAGGATTGGCTTCAACAGCATGGCCAAATAGCGTGTTCCACGTAGCACTATATTGAGGTTTAAGGCAGATGAGGTCTTGCAAGAAAAACTATGCGCTGAGATTCATCTGCTTGGAAGGTGAGTGGCTTCAGTCGTGGGTTTTTCTTTGGCTGGGCTGAGAAAACGTCAGTCGACGAGGCCCGCAGGCCCTTGACTGAAGGCCTTAACGTGGGTACATTGAGATACGTCGACACAAATCCACCAGCGAGACCTCGTCTTCCTCAAGCATCCTTAAAATGATGCCGGAGCGCCGCGTCACCAGGTTAAATGCGACTTGAAGGCAGAGCACAACTAGCTGAGTGCCCCCCATGGTGACGTAGGGTGGGAGTAGTTAGCTAGGCCCCACTTGATCCTCTGCGGCCAACGAGAAGCGCGAAGCTGGTTGGGTCAGAACTGTCTGCCTCCACTTCCTTGCCCTTCCCCCTCCCGAGAGGATACGGGGTTTGTAGCTTCTAAAAACAGGCACGAAGGCTTCACCTCCCCCTCCTTGCTCGCTTGCTTGCAGGGAAGATCATGCGCCGGGTGCTGAGAAAGATCGCCCGGAACGACAAGGACCTGGGCGACACGTCCACGCTGGCCGACGTTGCCGTCATCGAGCAGCTCTTCCAGAACCGCTGCAGCACCATCGTGTAAGCACTCACCGCTGCTCGCCCACAAGGGGGCGCCGATGACAGCGCTGTCGGTGCAAACGGACAAGAAGTAAAATCGGGGAAAAAATTTACAAATCATGGACGTAAAATAAGAACAGACTTCTTAGGAATGATTGTATCGTAATGTGTTCTAGATATGATTTGCTTCATATATATATAAAGTTTTTTGTTTTAACAAAGATAACTCCCTTTATTTTTTATCTAGAGGTTTTTGTTTAACCTCTCCGTCCTTTTAGTACTCCAAGTGCTGAAAACGG